CCTGGCATTGGTTTTTTTTATTTCATCGCCATATGAGCTTCTAAATATGTCGAAGCAATATAAGTGAAGGGCATCTCAAGAGATCTATGAGCTTTTCAAAGATATTGATTCCGCTATCGATTTCTTCGATCGAGACAAATTGCTCTGGGTACCACAGGGTGTGGTACCAAGTCTGTATTACATATAAACCTGGCTGGCGGATATAAAGAGTGTGTATCTCCGAGCGGCAAAAAGCAAAGCGCTGTGTTGCTGACGTAATTCGGCTCTTGATTTCTTTGAACAAGACAAACTGCTCTGGATCATATGGTATTGCGGTAAGTAAACATACAAAAGGCACAAGTTGAGAAGGGTTTTTGGTCCCTCTCGGATTGTGAACGACAAAATGCATAAAGAGGATAAAGCATTTGCCATCCCTTTTTGGGATGCGGCACGCATTCTACTTCCATTTGTACATTCGTAGTGGCGTTTGAATGCGATGTGGCCTATACAATGACTTGCGGGGGCCAGCCGATGTACAAGTCAGTGTTTTTATCCTCCCAGACAAGTCTGGTACCAATTAACCGACCCCGGAGGGATGGAAGGCTTGGTTGGCCCGGGCGACCCAGGATTTGATCCCCGGACCGCTCGCGTGGTAAGCGTGCCACTTGCCACTACACCACTTCCCTTTTTGTAAGCGAGGATTCCAAGGACATTCAAGCTAATATAATTCTACGCGCTATTGAAAGTCTCGGCTGGCTTTAAAATATCTCAAACCATACATATTTGTTACGGAGGAAAAGAATTCATCAATACAACACCTTTTGGTGCACCTTTCCGCCGCGGTTTCGAAGTTAAAAAGCTCAACAAGCATAGAGTTGAAATTGTCGGTTTCCTTTAATGCGCCGCGCACCCAGCAGGGACCAAAAATCGTAGAGGTATTTGAATGCGCACCGCACGTTGACACCTTCCGCATGAGAGAAGTGAATCGGCGATAGTCAAATCAAAGGAATAACTCGCGCCAGCAAATTCTGTATGGAAAACGTATAATTTCTAACCTTCCTACTTCTAATTACTTTGAAATTCTGACGCTTTGATGGTGGAACTAGATTCTGTTCAATCTTATGCATTTCCAATCTTCACCCACAAAACTTCAAAAGACCATCAACAAATGGGGGAGGAGAGATGAGAGGTAGCAAATGTTCCTTTCTCACCAAATATTTCGCTCCCCTTGCCCTCAAGGAATCCGACTCCATTTCACCAGATACGACCCCTCCCAAAATTTCATACATCGTACGACCCTCTCTGCCAAAAGAACGGTCGATCCGCTATGGAATTTACCTTTCAAAAACGGGAATAAGTGTGAAGGGTCCAAAGACTAACAATAAGTTCGAGAAAGCGAAGTTTTCGAGCTCATATGATCTGTGTCGAAAATTACAGGAGAACGTTCACAGAGGGTACAGTTTAACTGCATTGTTCTTTCGTCTCTCATGCGAATTTCGTCATGGTTTCCATTGTTGGCTTCGAATTTGCCTTCTGCCTTCACTCAGCAGGCTTCGTCTCTTAGCCGGTTGACTGACATGCTCGGAGATCGACAGAGGCACCAACGGCTTAATCTTCTACAGGCAGCCATTATCAACTTCTTTTGTTATCCAAGAAATCCAATCCTTCCTCGCATTCTTCCTAGCTGCCCTCCATTCCAATTGCTTCCTGTCCGTGAAGTGGCCAATCTACTTCTTTTGCCCACATTATTATTCCTGCGTTGTCCCTCCATCAAAACCTCCTCAAGTTTTTCCTCTCATAGTATTTTGTTCCTGCCTCTCACATCCACAAACCAATTGAGTGGCCTTCTCTGCACCTCTTTCATTCCCCTTTTTCGCTCCACAGCTGTTTTTTGAGGCGAACACCACCCTTAATTTGAAGCTTTCGAGATTTAACGATATAAACACAACTAAGATTTAAGCACGATTAACCTATCGGCGGGCGCTTCCATAAAAAATTTGTATGGCGGCGGGGGGGGAGTGGGGCCATTCAAAACAGGCGTCATTCGAAAAGCTTTGGTGGTGACACTAGACGTTAAGCCCAAGTCTAGGGGCAGGAACGAACCACGGAGCAACAAAAATGCCCTGAAATTGCTACATGCTTGTCCTCTCCCACGCTCTAGCTCCCACGTACTTTGAGTAGCTCTCTTCAGTTTCAATAGTCCTCCCTCTTCCACCCCCCCCCCCTCCCTTCCCTCCATGGCACGGAGCGCGTTGCATAGGTATCGTCACTACGCCGCTGAAAGAGTTTTTCTAGGAGAAGAATAGCGCTTGAATGCTCCGGAACGTCGTTTTATGCCTTCATAAACTGCGTTTCCAGGACGCGGACACCCATATTGCAGCGCTCACCATAACAATAATGTGAAAAATTACATCTCAGGAAACAGTGGGATTGACAAGCAGAATATAATATTTAAACACTTGTAGGCGTGTAATTTTTGACTGAGTGACTACTAACTTTACCTTTCCAAAAACTCTTGAACTTGAAGTTAGTTTCTATGATAGGTATTGCAACTTTATCTACATACCTAGATGCTGTGTTTGGTGTAACGATGAGGTGGAGTGTAGTCGCGATAGGCTTACGAGATGGACTGCGTCATTCTCATGGAAATTTCCTGAATATTGTAAATTGACTTGAATGAGAAAACTAACTGACAAAGTTAAATTATCCTAGGCTTGAATGTTACATGAGAAGCGGGTCTCGAAATCCCTGCATGCTTGGCGTGTAGCTTAGGCGGGGGTCATGTAAAGGCAGGGTCAATTCACGCCCAACTTCACCCTCCTGTCATCTCCTACCTCCTAGGACTAGGCCTCCAGAAAGAAAGTAGTCGGGAGCGTTAATAAGGAATTTTCATTTTCTCTAGAGGTAATCCTGCGCTTCTGGGCTCATTTCCGTTCTTCTAGGCTCAGCCCGCATAGCGAGCCCCCTCTAAAAGCACATTAGCCCCGAATTGTGTTCGAGGGATTTCAACAGAGGCTGAATCACTTACCCACGCTCCCAGCTCTTGGGAAATTTGCGTTCGATCGGGGAAGTGTGCCACTAGTGTAGCCCGACGTCGAAACACTGTTGTACGGCGACTTGTAATTGAGTTGTTCTGTACTTCCATACCTAAAATAAACACTGCTGGTTCGCTTACTGTTAGGTAATGATAACTTCGAGGTAAGTATGAGCTAAAAATTCATGGATTGGATCCGCCACTATAGACGTAATCAATAGCCGGCGAACAACTGAGCATTACACATGATCTGGCAGCGTAGCATCTGATATTCCATGAAGCAGACTAGAGCTGTTCAGAAATCGTACAAAAAACCTTATTCAGGAAGCGAGTACTTCCTACAGTACCCCTACGGAAAGCCATTAACGCTTGATAATCCGTAAAAGCAGTAAGGAACAAATACCTGTTTGAATAACTTCGAGTAGGTGCGGAATAGTCGGTGTAGGAGGTGGACATTCCCGAGTAGCTCGGCCGGCTATAGGAAGAGGACGTTGTTCGGTCCGGAGCATTACGGAATGGTGACGCCATAGGAGTTCTGGTTGCGCCAGCAGCGAAAGGGTCGTATGAACTGGCACGAGACGATCGAGATGGTGTAGTTGCTGGTGCAGCTGTCTGAAAGACTGGCTAGATGGGTTAGTTGGGTATCAGCTGATAGCTAGCTGGTGGTCGAACACCAGGGTCAAAATAGTGCTGCTGAAATCTTATGCAACCAGCAGCGGCTGTTAGGAGGGGTGGGGCGGCTGTGAGATGGCGCTCGTTCGCCGACTCATACTCCGTCACATAACCACTAACTGTCATTTCATGCGATCTCGAAGCTGCTTACCGTTTCTCGGAGAGCTTTATAGCTCGGCTTGTATACTGCCGGCTCTCGTTCTACTCTTCCCACGCTGTCACTTCCGGTCCGACGGTACGAGTACATTACTCAGGTATTCAGCGATGAATCGCCTGACGTCGTCGTGCACGAACTAGCTGAAAGTGGAGAATACTGAAGTGTGAAGAATATTCTTAGCATCAAGTAAGTGGAGAGTTACGAATATAATCTATTACATCAAACGAAGGGAATTAAGCTTACATGGGAAGGATGAAGTCAATTTGGCCAACTGGACGAAAGCGGTTATACCATTTGCATTCGACTTGAGACGCTGAGCTCGGAGATGCTCCGTTTATATGCCAAAAGATTTTCTAAACGGGGGTGGGGTGTAGTTAGTTATGATTTGATTCTCCCGCTGCTTTGCATGCCATCCCTATCTTTACCCCTTGAAGCCGTAGCTTACGATTAGAAGGCGGCCCATTAGAATCAAGCCAAAGGTGGTCTGGTCTAGTATGAAGAAAGGACCATAAAAACGGCTCAGAACCCAAGAAAAGGGACTTTTTCCTCGCTCATTGATTACCCCACTGGTGCAGCGCTCATCGGTATTGCCCTTTTCAACGCTAACGCTCTCACTCTGCTAAGTGGCTAGAGTCAGACGGCGAGAGGGTGGGCGTGCCACGGCATGAGCGGCGCGGGTATGGCCTGCTAGGCCGCTGGGGCATACTCATTGCTGCGAAACGCGCATCGTCCCGCATACCTTGAGGAGCCCGCCTGCCATTGGACTAGGTATAATTCCCCTTTTTCGACCTCCAATCTTATCATGGAATATTCCTTCGAATGTGATTAGACCTACAAAGTGATTGCAGTGGCCAGTTGATTACAAAAGTGTTATTATCCAATTCCGTTCGGGACCAAACCCTCTGATGTTCGAGCATGATGGAAGGTACAGCTTTGGTTTAGCCAGTGCTGTGTCTTCTCAAATTTTGTTTGCATCAACGCACAACTCCTAAGAAGGTAGAATGTTCGGTTGCCACAGACGGGACTCAATAAACTTATCGTGCTTGTGAGAACGTTCGCTTGGTCTGCGCTACCCACCTCCCACTCCCCCCTCTCCCCGGCAATGCACCTGGGCAGTGAGTTTGAAAAAATACAGAAAATTATTTCCGTGACCGAGCAATACCATTCCTTCAACACATTTGCTTCTAAAAGTTGAAGGGATTCTCAGAAAAATTTGAGTACCGACAAATTAAATGAATTTTGACTTGTTTTTGTTTGTTAACTGCTGTTTTTGGCCGCAGTTCGCCTTGCGAATGTTTCACAAGAATGCTGGGTTGTGAACAAAACTTTCGCCCCAGGCGGGACTAGAACCGATATCGGCTAACCGGCTCAACACGTTATACGTGTGAGTGCTGACAAGCTATGGTACGTATACCATGAAAAGCTGAGTTGGATGAAATGGTGCCCCGGTAGCGTAACTGGTAGCGCACTTGCCCGGAAAGCGAGAGGTGCGGGTTCTAGTCCCGCCTGGGGCGAAAGTTTTGTTCACAACCCAGCATTCTTGTGAA